ATCTCAGTCACAAAGGGACAAATGCTATATGGTGCCACTGTAGTAGAATGAGGCTGACATCGGGGTGGGGGTAAGACTGAGAAAAACTGGATAAATTATGTTTACTGCATTGAAGTCTATGAGGGAGATAATAGTTTACAAGTATTATATTTTAGGGCATTATGTTTATCATAAGAGTACGGAATGAGGGTTGCAGAGTGGATTATATTTGGGGTGCAGGTGGGGTTAGGGGTGTGCGGGGCGGATTGTGTACCAATGAAGGAGTTTTTCTTTTGCTTTTCAAGGAGAGGAGCGAACGGGGTGTGGGCGGGGAGAAAAGTGCAACAATGAATGAATGGAATTCCAAAATCTCTGTAGATGTTCATTGAAATTAAAAAAAAAATACGAGGTTATACCTAGTATTTCATACTGAAATTTTTGTTGAATTATTAGCTGTAGCCGTTATGTAAGTTGATTTTAACTTAGATATTGTGGAATCGTTATATTGAATCCTTGACGTATGTATTACATAAAATTACATTTATCATTACAAATTACTTAATGGGTTTTTTTAATGTGTATTCCTGGAAGAAGCTATGTAATAGGTAACCTATTGTATTCATAGTTTTGAGTAAGTATTGAATCACTGTCATTTTTATTAAAGAACATATATGTTTAGTGATTTTGATTCTCTTTCATTTATTCATATTTCTTGGCTTGCCATTTTATATAAACGCTACCAAGAAAAATAATTGGAATAATTCTGGAATTTAACCCCAAAGCATTACAAAATTTGTTGGCCTAACAGGAGAAATGGTTTGCCTCCAGAAACTCTTATGTATGAACAGTGCTCAGGCTGTTCGTTCATAGGGTGTCTACGAGTCATCTACGACTTGACGGCACCAACAACAACAAACAACAGGAGATGGATTAACATGGTGATTCCAGCAATGGGCTCTAATATGTCAGAGATGATGAAAATAGTATATGATAGAGCAAGGTTCAGGTTCATAGGGTTGCTAAGAATCCTGTGAACAGAATGATACAGGATAGGGCAGGGCTCAGGTTCATAGGGTTGCTATGAGTCGTATTTGATTTGACAACATCTAAAAACAAGAACAGAAAGTTGTAACCAGTAGTAAATTATAAAATAGTAAACAAACTTGTTGCGTTATTGCTTCCATTAAATTTCTGAAATACTCTAGTGCTCTAATTGAACGCAAACTCTTAATTTAGGCAGTAAAGCTTTTCTCATTACAGTGAAATTTCTCATAAATCTTTTAGAATATTGTTTTACTCTGTAATTCTTATATTTTTGTCAGGTTGCCATGAATGTGTATGAGTTATCATCAGCTGCTGGATTACCTTGTGAGATTGATCCTGCTTTGGTGGTAGCTCTCTCTTCACAAAAATCAGGTAAAATGCACTTGTAAATGTATAAAATTCTTGTTAAAATTACCAGAGCACACAGATAGGTGTGACATTCATCTATTTACTCAGGTGCCTACTTTTTTTAGTGCTTCTCATATTGGATTGAATTTATCAGGGAAGATCACTGTGGAGCTTATATAAAACTTAGTCATTATATAGATGATCTATAAGTCAGGTTGAGGCTACCATTAGTTTAGATGCAGAAATGAAGAAGATCATGGTCTGAGCACTGGACTGTTCCAGCTTTTAGAATTTAAGAGAAGTCCCCAAAAAGTAACTGAGAATGAAGGCACAATAAAAAAAAAAGAATAAAACAGGACAGAATGTTGATCATCTGTGTGATACAAATTAATGGAGAAAATATAAACAGTTCTCTCAAAGTCTTTTATTATAAAGAGGTGAAAAAACCCTCAAACATTAGCTGAATTCATGAATAAAATTAAAGAAATGTTTGGCCTAGTGGGTAAGGAGTTTTGCTGCCAATCCAAAGTCAGCTGGTTCAAATCCACTAGCTACACATCAGGAGAAAGATCTAAGTAAGTCTCCTCTTGTGCAATTTACACTCTCTAAAATCTTTTTATAAGAGACACAAACACAGGTTGTACACATGGACTTCACCTGATGGTATGCATAGGAATCAGATCGACTACATCTGTGGAAGGAACCGCTGGAGAAGCTCAA